ACGCTTCAGTACTGCTTTGGCTAGCAGAGGCCTGGGCCCGGTGCCGTTAACCTTGAGGATGACATGTCATTTTTAAATCCGTTAGAGCCTTGACCTAAATATCTGGGGTGATCAATAGCAAGACTTCACTGATTTCAGTGGGTTCTGGATGAGCACGCTATCTGTGACCAGATGTTACAGCCTATCTGCTTCACCCTTAGGGACTTCTAAGGAGAAAATCCTGTTTCTTCACTCATGTAAAAAGCCAACATTGAGTTAGTTTAGATGCCCTTCAGCTATTGCTAGTTTCTGTGCAAGGCGAATCATATATCCTCCTCTTCCTTCTGTAACTGATTCTTCCCATTTGTACTTTGTCATCCAGCAACATCAACAACAACTTTGCACTCTGGGATGACTGATTCCTAGCACTGTTTTTGCTGATTTAAAGATGCCGGTTAAAAGACGTTTCTCAGCTTATCATATCCAAAGTTGGTTTGAAACTGAATTTCTGAATGGCATTAAAATGCATTATCTTGCCAATGTTGGCTTATTTATTTTCCCCAGAAAACTTTATTTATTCTTAGAAAACAAGAATACAATACAGCGGTACAAACAAATGATCATTCATATGCAACTGAGCAAAAAATGTACAAAGACTTGAGACATGCCATAAAATACAGAAAAAATAATTAAAAAACCCAAGATAAATAGAGAGGACATGCAATGAAGGGAAAATAAAATATCAGTTTGATGATCTCACGTTTCCTTTCACATTCAAAAGGAACCACCCCAGGGGAAATCAAATTGCCCGATAAAAAAAAATAGCAACATAAAGGAAACAAGGTAAATGAAACGACAAAGGAAAAGACGACAAGGAAAGTAAAAATAATGGTGTAAGCAGGAGACTCTTTAATAATCAAAAACAACATTGCTGACACCAAGCGGAAGATGCAGAAGGGCCTTGACTGCCATGGACTAGGATCTGGCTGGAGAACTGCAGTGAGGCGGAAAGCAGTGCAGATCACAATTCTTAGCAGGGACAAAGTTTGTTCCATTGGATTCATATCTCTTAGCTCCTATTTCCACTTCTGAGGTACACTGGCTTTCACAGTCTTCTAAAGCCAAAGACGAGGCCTAATGGGTAACTCTCAGACGGCTAAAGCCGCAAGTACAGATTGTTGAGGTAGGCTGGAATTTGTGCATCATCAAAATGGAAACAGGGGAACTTAAGGCAGATCATATAAAGGCTGCCCTGGGCAGAGATGCAGGTTTTCTGTCTTTCAACCTGCATACTTGCCAAGGTATGTGCAACAATTTTTGGTGGAATCTTGCTACCTCCCACTGTCTACTGTAGAGTTAGAAAGTATCGCAGAGTTTAGATTCTCTGAATTTTAACAACATCCACAAATTATTTTACTGGGTGCAGCAGGAGAACAATAATGGTAAGACTATGTTACTGATATGCAAGTCTGTTACCTCTCTGGACGCTACCCGAGTAATCTTTGAATCATTAAAAAAAAAAAAAAAAAAAAAAAAAGAGAAGGAAAAAAAGGAAAAAGTGAAACAGAGAAGTGAAGAGCAGCTTTTGGGCAGAAAGGTTTTGCAGAACGATCAGGAAGTTAAACAAAGCTGCAAAGACTGTGAATGTTAAAGAACGGTAAATACGTGATTTGACAGATCCAACTCCACTCTTAGGAGTGGAGTTAATGGAGAAACAAGTTATAAGGCAATGACTAGTAGCAATTCAGCGGGTGGGAAATGATGCCATTTCTTATCCTGTAAAAAAACCTAAATCTCCATGCAATACAAAAATCACAAAACCAACGGGGTGCAGTTGCTGAGACACTCTCACCGCTAGGGGCTGTACAGTCTATTTGGAGAAAATACAGTTCTGATTTATAATCCAAATTAATCAAGCTAAGAAAGAATCAAAACAAGAATGTGAGATCATTTTAACATTGTCTTTCTACATCTGCATTAACAATAAATGGATCAATCTCCTCTTTTATGGAAGATGCAGTAAGTATCAGTTCCCAGCAAATAAATCATTCCATACTTTCTAAAGGGACTCATCTTCCCTGACATGAGGTTGCCCGTTAATCTGTTTTTAGCGAGTACAACTTGGGCATAGTGAAAATTACAGACACTCGATGTTTTTCTTCACGAGTAATATGATATTTTATCTTTGCTTCTAAGCTTTCGTTGTCTTGGAGTACAGTATGTGGACGAATAGGGGAGTCATTTCCTAGCAGCTCTGAAGAGAAGTCAGGAGTAATAATCTTCAAGGGGAACAGTGAAGTGCAGTAAAACATAGCTGATAAAGCAGAGAAGATGCTGCTCAGTCCATTACAGCAAGCAGCTATCCTGGATCATAATGACAATGAACGTCTGAAAACTGTCTTTTAGTCTGTCAAATGAAATAAAAGACAGCAACAACCTGACGACGTGGGAAAGCCCTTGGCAGTTAAATGACCCAAATTATATTTGACTTTACTGAAATCATGGAATAAACGCACAGGACCGGCACCAAGAAGATACAGGCATCCAGAGACAATTATTCAAAGCTCCACATTTTTAGGCTACCAGCTGTAAATATCTTTACCTGATTGCTCAGTTATTCAAAAGGAACACAGAATGACTGAACAGAGAGTCCAAAATGAACATTAATTTTCATTTTTTATTTTACTACTCCCCAAATTTCTGAAGTTTTTCAGAGTCAAAAGATTAGGTATCAAGTATTGCGAACTGAATAGCAGTTGTGTAAATTGAACATTTTAATACACAGAGAGATAGAGATAGATGTATGAGCTGACAAAAATTCACGGTGGGTATAGGACGCTTGGGCTTAATAGTAATTGGAAGAGGAGGATAACACATTTTAGAAAATCTAATCAAAAAAGATGATCCAGTGTACATTTCCCTGAAATAACTCGAAAGAAAGGCATTTAAACATTACCAACTATGTTTCTAGCTTTAATAGATTATTAGCATGAGCCCGAACAGGGGAACCTGGCATGGTATTGCAAATACACAATTTTCCTAATGCCACCGGAGCTAATCTTTCTTTTGTTAATTTGATCTGTTAAGGATGAAGCGAAGCATTAGAAGGCATCACATTAAGAGTCTTACAGGAGAAAACATTAGAAGCATTTCTGTAAGTCTGCTTCAAATAGAATAAAAATAGCCCATATTAACGTCTTGGGGGAAAAAAAACCCCGCAGCAATGCAGCCTTCATTCTTCTAGCAAGAAATCTCACTACTCCTTGCACAACAGAACTGTGAGACGAAAGCAACTAAGCGTGTTTTGGGAACGTAAAGGAAGTCCATCTTTCCTGGAGGTTTAGCCTCATGAATTGACTTAATGGGTCGAAACAATATCACTTTTTAATTGGGGAAGGGGGCCAGGGGAATTCTGTCGGAAAGCAAAGAATGCAAAAAATGGTTTTGATATTCTTCTAACTGGAAGTAGTCTCTGTTTGATATAACTTTTCCTGTAAATAGACTCCACAAACATAGATCAAATTAATGCCAAAGTCCAAGTTCTGCTGTCAGGATTTTAAAAACAGGTTTCCTATCTCCCCACCCCCCCCCACCCCAGTTATATAGTTAACACTCATCCTCCTAATTAAGAACTGCAATTTATACCAAACAGAGATCTGAGTCCTTGAACACCTCCACGTATTGCCTCAGGCTGACCTCCATGAAAGCCAAAGGAATACAAAGTAGAAGAGGAAAACAGAAGGACCTGCCAAATATCAACACCTTAATCGCAGCTGAAAGCGGTTCTCCAACGCTAATGAAGGCTGTGCGCATTCTTACGGCCGCAGATTTCGCACGGACCCTGGACACACAGAGTGACAGTCTCCGAAAGTTGCTCTCTTTCTCATAATAGGGCTGGGCAGTCAGTAAGGCTGCCCAGCCCTATTCTGATTGGGCATTTGTCTTCCCAGCATCTCTGGTGGTGGAGCATAGGTGGACCAGTTTATGGCCCTCCTGCAGTTTATGATCCTACTGCATGGATCAAGCCCAAAAGAGAACGTTATACAGGAGCTCCACAACTTACGATGGCTCCTCACTGAATCCTAGAACCATTATAATTTCCTATAATTGACTTAGAAAGCTCTTAACAGGACACGGTCTCAGTTGCCAAAGTCCTGCCTCCTTTTCTGCTGCTGTCTCATGATGGTTATTTATAGAGGATGCTGTTATTTTTCCACGAGGTGACTACCAAAGTCTAAGGCTTTGGTAGGCTTAGGCTGCCAGAGAATCAGCCCTTTCACAGCAGAAAACGGTCAAGAGAAAAAAATTCCAACATCCACAATTTTTAGGTGATACCACAACACCGTTTTCCCAAAGGCTTCCCAAAAGCAGAAGGAAAAGCAAATCAGCGGCAGCACGACTGAAGTTTACAGCTGTTACTGAACTAAAGACTTGGATGGAGTGTCGGACGCTGCTAAGAGGCAGATTTTCATGTTTTGTATATGCCATACATGCTGTAGCTCTGTTGTAATTATTACTGTAGCAACGTTGGCTGATAGACACTTGCAGAAAAGAGCTATCCGTAAACACAATCCTCCTGAAATCACATCTTTTCACTTTCGGCCCCCGCAGCTCAGTTATTGTTCCCGATTCCTGCAGTTGTGGCAGAGGGGTCCTCCTGCACTCAGCGTTCCCCTTTTCCCTGGATCCTGTGCTTTCCCAACTTTTGAACCTTGGTTCCCATAAATATTTTGAAAAATCAATCTATACAACGCTCTCTTCTGAAACTGCACTTCTTGTCTCGATTACAGTAGCCTTCAGCAATCCCACTTCATTCCTTCCTCATCAGTACGTACGTATCTCTGCTACCTGCTCTACCAAGAAATATCCGCTACGCTTGTTGACTACTTTACCTAGGTATATTTTATGGTCACCCTTCTCTTCAGCTACTGTGACCTGTTCCAGCGACACTAAAAGCGTCCTGCCTTTCAGCGCACCACGCAGCCCTCTCCATGGCCCACCCTCCCCCCCCCTCCCTGCCCTTATGCCGTTCCTACGCCTGCCTCCTCCACTGGCTCTCCCTGGTGAACCTCATCCGTCTGCCCTTTTGTGAGGAACACTCACTTTCTCTTTCAGCTTTAACACCTGCTTGTTCCAGGACTGCCACCGACTTTGTTCCCGCTCTCTCAACGGCACCCACAAGGCTGACCTTTCCTGAGCCTGCTCATGCGTGTTGTGCTGGGGTTCATTTGTCTTGCTTCACCTACACTGACTGTGCTTGAAGGTCAGACCCATTCCCACACAGAGGTGATCTCCCTGAATACAGCTCTACCATATGGGTACCTGTAGTACGCTTAAACAAAATGGAAGCTTGAAAGCGTTTTATTGTTTGTCATGAAAATGGCAAAAGAGGATGTGAAGAGCGACCGTTATGAAGAACACACTGGGGGGGAAGGGAAAGGAGAAGGGGAAGAGGAAGGGGATAAAAAAAACAGTGCCTCAGATGGTAGGAGGGGTGGGGAGGCCAGGGATCTGTACTAATCCTTGTTACAGATCTAAAGAGAGACATAAAAGGGACAGGCAAAAGAAAGAAAATATTTAAAATCAGGGGGAGAGATCCTTCTTCAGACACGGAAACGGAGTATTTAGAAGACCTCGCAAGAGAAGAGTGACTGGACTACGTCACCTTACGTATATGTAACTCTGCCTTTGGGGCACATTCTCAGCCCACTCTACAAAGATGCACGAGGGTGAGTCCCTGAGCGTAGAGAGGAGAAGGCACTCACTACAAAGTATGGCAAGGCAAATGCTTGTGCACAGGCAGCGCTAGGACACTTCAAACCACATCCCTGCCCCTTACCCTGCCAGGCATTTGCAGCAGAAAGTGAGCTGTCTGTTACCAAGGTTTGGGCCTGAGCAATGCTAATGCGGAGAGGGGCCTCCAGAGCTACAGCAAGAGTGAATTCTGCAAGGCAGCAGGGCAAGATGCTCAAGTGTTCAACCAAAGATAACAAACAACTCAATACATGTTTCTGTTCCTCGGCAAGCTTGCTTATAAGCAACGCTTGTGTACTCCTGCTCTCCCTGCGCCTGCTTTGTGGAGTGCTGCACCATGCACAGCGGAGACATGCTTCCTTTTAGCAACGTTTCCCTTTCAGTATTACACGCTGTGGAGCCACAGGCAGGGGACTTGGCAGCTTCGTCCCACAAACACGACACAGATGCTTATCACTGAACCCTCAATGGATGAATTCAAACGGGAGAAGCAGGAACTCAGAAGAGTGGAGTCTTACTAATAAATATTTCACAACATCACAGACTGCAACATGTTTCTTCTTCAGATCCCGTTTGCCAGAACCGCTTACAGGTGATAGGTACGTCAATTATTGTAATGCTCCTGGCAACCTGAGAAACATAGATTGGAATTGATGGGCTATGTACCATTTTCCAGCTGTAGTGCAGCTCGCTGCTATTACTTGCTTGTAACAAACATCTGTTCCAAGAGGAAAGCACCTACAGATGCCCCAGTGTTTCAAAAATTACAAGAGGTTAGTTTGTTAAATACTTAATCTATGTAAATATATACAGGCTTCGTGCAAGACAGATCCGAGTACGGACTGATTATTTTATCACGGCTAACAATTACTTGCTACTGCAGCAAGCAGTCTGTAAAAACAAGACATTCTTAGAAGTATTTTCCTAGGTAAAATATTTCATATTTACTAAGTTTACTTAGTAAACTTAGTACTAGTTTACAAAGAGGCTCTTAGTTTTAGAAATAAAACTTATCTCAAAAGAAAGGAAGCATTTAAACAGTGTCATGGCAATATGGCTCATTCAATTAATAACTAGATTGCTTATTTTTAATTGCTCGTGTACCTCTTCAAACTTAGCCTAGGTCAACCATGAAGAAAAACGGCTACCAGTCACTGGCAGCTGTATAACCTGCGCAGTACGGACACAGTTCTCACAGGCAATGGATGGGGTCTTACACCACAAAAACACATCAACCAGAGTTGGCACAACTGGGTGCCAATGACTGGCCTCCCTGTCACTCTTAGCAGAGAGGCTAAGGGCATGTTTCTGAACTACTCTCTTACCCCTAAAGGTGGTCTCTCCAGGTCAGGGCTGAGGCACATTGGTGGGGCAATGTGGGGAAGTTTGCACTGCTGCTGCCCATGCTGTATCTTCTCTATAAATAAATACAGGACTTTAGTCTCCAGGGCTGTCAGTTTGGCACGTTCCATGTGCACAAAAGACAGGCTTTGTGGGTTTTTGTTTGTCTTTGTGTGTGTTTTATTTTATTTTATTTTTTTTAAGAAACAACCACCCAAAAAGTTATATGCCAAGTTTAGTATGGCAAACCAAAATAAGCCAAATTTATTGTACGAGAGCACCTATGATCCCCCAACTTCCACTTGCTCTCTCTTTATTTTGTGTTTTCTACTTTTAATTGTGATAAGAATAAAAGTTATGGACCTCTTTCGGTGCTTCTTGATGACAACGGTTGCTGTTCCACCACAACTCCAATGCTGCCACCAAGCATGCAAGAAGAAGGCCTATTGCTAAAATGCAGAAAACGCCTGCAAAACTGTGAAGCTTGAGTGCCTTCCCATCTGTCTGTGCATTGGTATGGCTATTCAGGTCACAACGTCCCATTCGTGGCCACCACTTCTGTTTGAGAACATCCAAATCTCCGCTTTCTTGCAATTCTAAGATCCTGCAGAAATTTTAAAACACAAGTATTATCTTCAGCAATACTTTTTTGGCCATTTTTCTTTTCTGCGCGTTGCATACCTCTCACATCTACTGCCCCGGAATTCCAAACTCCCTCCCACCACCCGCCGCCCCCCCCACAAAGCATTCTTATCTGAAACACTGTAAGTATTCAAGCTTTCCTGTCCTTGGGTAAGTCAACTGTCAGGGGGCACTGGCAGAATTCACAGTTCTAGAACTTCATACCTCTGCTTTTTCTGCACATCAAATACCAAATGTCCTCCATCCAAACCTCCCTAGGACAGGTATTTCTGTGAACAGAACTTTTTGGTAGTAACAGCATGGGTTAACATTTTCTACTCAACTGTAGCTTGAGACCAAAAGCATCTCCTGGGAAAAAAATGGATCAGCTTTGCTGCTGTCTTTTACCATACAGAAAACAGTCTGTTCACAGCAGCAGGTAGACGTCACTGGGTAACTTCAGAAACAAGACTGACTGTCAAAACTTCCATTACAAGGCAAAAAATATTACCAAGGCAAATCAACACATTCCACTTAGTCATAGCCGGTCTGGCTACACTCCATTGCAACAGCTGGTCCCACAAACGACACTCTCAACCCACTCCACTACTGCGCTTCCACAACAATTTCAAAATAACGTGAGACCGAACATGTTGGTATTTGTGAGCTACTTAATACAAATCCCTTTAAGCAGAAACAGACTCTTTTACTTCTGCTTTGAGCTACAGCAAATGCAGCTTATTCAAAAGGATTTTACTCTAATGCTGTTACTTCATGCTTGAATTTCTGTGTTAACAGTTGCTAATTAATCATTGTTTTGCCTCTTGTGAAGTGTCCCTTCTTTCTATGAATGATTCATTTTGGGTCTGATTTGACAACTGTTTCTGCTGTTTACTAACAACTCTTCTTTTGAGGCAGTTTTGTCTCTGGTTATCATGAGGATCCAGACCAGCGGCAGCTGGTGTTTTACCGCTTCTTATAAAGCAGTTGTTAGACAAAGGGAAAGTTGCTTCAGCTCTGATTGCGAGCTTTGCACCCAGGCACCGTCTGCGAAGGCCACACAGGTCTGTACAACCGCATGTCTTCACTTCAGTTACATGTCGACATAAAACGACACTGATAGCTGATGGCTTAGAGATCACTACATGGCCGCCGCAGAAATCACAGTCTACTATCCATGCAATATTCAACAATTATGTTTTGCCTGTACTACTGTGAGAAAGCACTACATTTAAGATTTGGATCTGTCTGTCCATCCTGGAGAGTAAACTGGAACATGATTACATGCTTACTGCCTGGAAGAGCACATTGTTTCACAGCAGGCAAAACAGAGTACGAGCCAGAGAGGTTTCATCTCCCCTCTAGCCCATACCGAGGTCTGGGGACACCAAACTTTCTTCTGACAGAGCCAGTGCTGCCTGGAGGTGCAAAATCACACACCGTTTCCAGTCGTCTTCCTCCTCCCTAAACAAACACAAATGGAGCAGAAGCAGCAGCTTTCTTGAAGCGTCAACTTATAACCTCTCTACTGTCACAGAAGGAAGAGAACAAAGTTCATTCAATAAACAGTCACCGCCAAAGCTAATAAGACTAAGACTCCTTGCTGGTTGTAGGGAAGAATCCTAGAAAAATAGCTTTGTTTTGCTTTACCTCTGGGAGAAAAGATCTCTGTAGGGGCTTCCATGCTGGAGGGCTATCCCGTATCCTTTGCTGCTGATGCTGTTCCCAATGACCGTCACCGAGCACTCGTCATCAGTCAGCGCGGCATATTCCACCACCGTCACATCCCACAGGAAAGCATAGTTTCCTTTCTTTGCCTGTAAATGCATCATGAACATAACAGAAACTAAACTACACTAATTCTGGAAGCAGGACATAAAACGAATGAACACACAAACAAACGAGCCCTGAGCTTGTCATTACTCCCTGCAGGTATTGCATTAGGTCACACTTACCTGGAGGCTTCCAACCTCTTAATATAGCTCTAATGTTTTTCCTTCCTTTCCTCGCAGTACCTCATCTCTACTTCAAACCTCTCTAATGTGTCTTCCATTTTTAATAGAGGGTTAGCGGAGCGTGCCATAGCCAACCATAAGCTTGGGCAAGGCTTATATAACTAGTAATTAATCATACACCAAAGCCATTGCCTCAACTGATGAAATTTGACATACATCCTGTAGGAGACGTGGATTACCAGTTCCATACATTCACGTAAGAATAACAGGTACAGCGTGATTGCCAAGCCATGTTTTTCAGTCATCGCAAGTCACAAAATGGCAACTTTGCAGCTTTGCTCAACTAAACGTATAAATGAAAGCTATGCTAGTTCTGAAACAAAAGGCATGTTCTGAGCTTTAAAAAAAAGTTCTTTTTTCACAGGTTTAAAAAAAAAAAAAAAAAGTCACCAGTGTCTCCTATTAGCTCAATTTTGGGACAAATATTGTTCTATTTTAGCACACACCCACAGAGATGTCCTTAAATGTCAGCCTTAATTGGGATTCAAACCAATGCCTGCATGCAGTGCATATGATGAATGTAAATCACCTTACTTAACATAAGATGTAAGAAACATCTCTGGATAGGGATACAGTAAGAAAAAAAGTCGTAATTTTGTTTGGTTAAAGTAATCATTGGTTTCCTAATGTATTTAAGTAGTATGTTTTTAAGTCTCTAGTGAACATACAGAGCACAACGGAACAGATGGGCTGGAGCATGTAACGCGAATAAATGAGTAATCATGAATACAGTCTTCCAAGACTTAATTTTTTTTTTTTTTTTTTTTTTTTTTTTAGTTTGAGTGATTTCAGATCTTTCCTTAGGTCAAAACAAAGCAAGGCCGGAAGCTCAAGTCCTACACGTATTTATCTATGGAAACTGAATCACCAAGGGCCCTTAGCAAATGGCCGCAGCTCTGATATGGAATTAGCTCTCTCTTCCAGGTATTTTGTGTAAGCTCAGTTTTGAATTGACCTGTAAGGTTACAAGACTCCCTCAGTTATTTCATTATATCAGGTGGTTCTTGCCAGAGATTCAGCTGAGCAATTCAACCAATTTCACTTCACCATGCTTTGATATAAACCACCACAGCTCTCTGAAGTCCTTGACAGTTGTTTAAACATGACAGTAAATCA